CCATGTCAGAATTTGGTCGTGGTTTTTGGATCTTTTACATTGCCAACACTGCAGCTCAGTTAATGGCTTTTTATCAGACCTACAGTCCCACTACTTTTAGATTAAAGACATTCAGTAGTAAGTAATGGCTCCTGTGCTCCGTATCTCAACTGAAACCCTCCGGCTCTCACCAGTTGCCCTGGCACGTGTGATTTGTGAATGCTTTTTTTTTTACCCAGTATGCATTTCAAAGCAGCCAGCCCCCTCGAATAAAACCCCAGCAATCTGTCCTGCTTTGTTGCAACGAAAGATCCCCAATCTGGCTTTGATGAGCTCGTAAATCCAGGGCCCCGGAGCGTGGTGAGGGCAGACTCCATGATGGTACAGTCTCTAAAAGGATGATCAGATGGCTTTATTGGCCAGAAGAGTAAGGGGGGCAGACCGTCAGGGGCCTTGTTATTGGCGTGATTTATCCACAATCCCCCGAGTGTCATCTTCATCAGCTCGACCACCGTCAACGCAGCCAGACTGCGTTGCTGTTTGAGAAGCAAGAAAATGTGTTTATTGTGTGTGTTTGTGGCTGTGTGGAAGGCTGGATGGCCCCGTCATAATTCTAACCTCTCGCCACTTTCCACCTGTCACACACCTTAATGAGGCTCCAAAGACAGAGGAGACAGTTTATGTCTGCTGTTCGCTGCTGATTCATTGTTGCTTTATGGTCTACCCCCCCCCCCCTTCATATACAACGTAATCAGTGATTTGTAGCTTAGATAAACACAGTTGTTGATCTGGCATAGGCCCGTGCACCATGTGGATGTTAGGCAGGCACCATCTTAACAGATTTGGCCGCTTTTTTGCTTTCATTCTTAGTGTATCCTATGAGCGCATATGGGGTGACACAGTGTGGTCTGGCTTGTGTGTTGTCTGCTGTGTGTTGTTTGTGTGTGTGTGTGTGTGTGTGTGTGTGCGTTGTGTGTGTGTCTGTGACTATGTGTGAGGAGGTTTTCACAGATAAGATCTCTGTGAAAGAAAAGATTTAATTCCCTAACAACAAAGGTACAGCAGCCATATTTCTATCACCTGATACAATTACCACATCAGTAATTCAGAAAAACAACCTTTGAAAATAGAGAAACAATAAATGTGAAAATCCACAGACACAAATGAGTGGGAGAATTGGAGAAAAGAAATGGAAAGGGAGGCCTATAACCAATCCAAATCCCATAAGCGAAAAGGAAATGCCTTCAGAAGCTTAAAGAAAAATAAACAGAAATTAGTTTTTAAGGAAGTAAATGGTCTAATTAAGAAAGAAATTTTCGAAGTACCAAACAAAGCAGAAAATTGCCTTTGTGAACACAAGGGATTTTCTGGATTTGTCTAAACTTTTGTGGCTTTTAGCCTGGGGAGAATTATTCAGATTCAAGCCAGATACAACAAGCACTTATTATTTTGATTATATGTCATGTAAAGCTGGATTTATTATTGTGCACTAATGGAGAAAAAGTGGAACCTCTGCAAAACAGCTGCGGTAGCTAAGTGAAATGCACCTCTTCAGACATGTCGGGTAGGAGTAAGCAGATCAACAACTGAAGTACTGATACCACTGATACTAAGTATTGTTTTGAGTAGCAATACTAAAAATGCTACTCAAATGTTAGATGTTAGTTTCACGTTAGATCACAATCTGGGCCAATGAAAAGTCTTCTCTGCTGCTGCTGTGTGCTTGTTTGCAGAGTTCACACCAGAAACATTTTTTTTATTCAACATTCACAACTGTCTTGTTTTTTTTTTAATGCAAGAATGAGAATCCTTAAAAGAAAAGCAAATAATTTGATCATGAAAATGATAAATCGTGACATATGGCTCCTCCCTCCATGACTGTATATTAGAGGTCTTCATGGGTCCAAAATGTTGAACTTGATCCACAGTGGAATCATGGAAAACCAACAAGTACCCTAATGAGCTTTAATTCATTTTCAAAGAGGGACCCACAGAGCACAGACTGTAAAGTAAACAAATCCACTCAAATATATATTAGTGTATACCTGTAATACCTACATAATTTTACATAATTTTTACTTTTTAAGGCTTAAATTCCAACTTTGGAAAATGCGCTCACACTCTGGCATTTACTCTAGGGCTATTTTTACAATAATGTTTGATCCAATTCCTGCTCTCAAAACTATGCATAATTTACCATAACACTGTGAGTACAGTCTGAATTTAAATAAAAGTAACTTAACCTTGTTCACAGTGACAACTAAATCTGCTGCAGTCGGACCAGTAGGTGAAACCCATTCATTCCTCCCACCGCCGTCACCCTGAGCATGTGGGAGAGTCATCACAGGGGTCGATTAGCGATGAATATGTAGCTGCTCTTCTTTTTCTCACTCTCATCCATAATGTATTAGAGACAGCGCAGTGTGGAGGAAACGGAGGACAAGGTCGTCAACTGCCATTTTTGGCAGAGAGGCACCACACTACAGCATTAGAAGCTATTTTAGTCTGTGAATGGATGGATTGTTATTGGTAAAGCGCGACAAAACGCAACAGGTGATTTAACATGGCGTGTCAGCTTTTCAAGATCTTTACATTTAACATGTTTAAATGGTTTTCACAAGCTTTGCAGACTCTTTGGTCTGGTGAAAGTTAGGCATTATATTGAACTAAAAGGCTATGAATGAGAGATTTGATGCACAGAAACCAGGCCAGTAGCTTTTAGCCTATGTCAGTTGATATCCTGGGGACAGATTTCTCTCCTTTTTTTGGGCTGATAGGGCTGATCTCAGCTTACTGGACATAACACGCGATTACATAAACGTCGGGGTTTTAAAAATCGAAATTAAACCTCCCTTTTCTGAGAAAGACAGCGTGACCGGACCGGCCTGGTGATTAGATGGCTGGCTGGCCCTCTTTCATTGATCTCTGAGTGTGATTCAGCTTCTTCTTCAGTTCAGCAGTAATACTATGGATAAGTCCGTGCTTTGAACTAGATCATTCAGTCATGGCTCTCCAGTAGAGGAAGGTCCACGTCACATTCCTTCAGTTAAAAAGTGACATTTTACATTAGAAAGTAAAAAACATAAACACATATATTTGCAGCTGGTCTGGGTTCGTTTTGTGTGTGTGTGTGTGGGATGTGAATTAACCTTCCATATTCCACTGGAGCATGACTTATCCTCTTTTCTGCCAATTACTACACCGCCAGTCTCATCAGGTGAAAACCACCTCCTCCACAGTTTTAATATGCAAATGTAAGAAATCCTTTTCTTTGCCGTCGGCCTCCCCCACACTTTGAGAGATTAAATATTCATGATCTCCATGATTACTGTGCATTACGGTGCGACGATATCCAGGAGCGAGCCTCAAGTGCAGTGTGCAGGACTTTACTAGTGCTTTTTAATTTGTGACTGTTGGGACTGTTGTATCACTGCACGCACTCTGATACTGATTATTTACCATTATTTAGGTACAGTGCAGTCAAATAAATGTGTAAATAATTGAGAGGGTGTGTGTCTGAGTGTGTAAGAGGGAGTATACAGTAAAAGGGGAGCATATGGTGGTGATTTTAGTGAGGGTGGGTGAAGAGTTATGGTTCCCCAGGGTCCCACTTACATCTATTATTCATGTTTCAAAGGGTCGGATAGCCATTCAGCCTATGTTTGGTTACAGGCTCAGGGGTTCTTATTTTAGACCCTATTTTGTCAGAATCCTCACTGTGCAAACATAACAAGCACTCATGTGTAACAAGTAAATATGTAAAGTGAATTCTAATAAAGATAAATGAGAAAACGATTGTGAATTGAAATAAAAATGGCTGCCTAACACCCTGATATACACCTTAATATATGAGCTACTGCAGCAATATTCTGCTGTATTTATACCATAGCTATACTCTTCCTCATGATTCAGACTTTAATGGGTTGTTCCTCTTTACGGTCAGATTTTTACCAACAGTGCATAAAAGCCTAAAAATAGCCTGGGGAGTGGTGGATATTCTACTAAATAAATCAGATCTAGATACAGCAGTTTTAAATGTCCCTTAATCCCTCCTGCATTAGTGAAGTTCCTCATCTGCTTAAAGGGCCACTCCACAGTGAGTGAGTTTTACACAGAAACGTCAGTTTATGAATGGAGGTCTTCATGAGTCCCCTCATAGGCAAAGAGTACTATGAAGGCAACTATGAAGTTTCAGGAAAAATTGAATGTATCGATGCTCAGTTACTGGTGGAGCGTCATGGCTGTTGCTAGTGTTGGTTTCAATCTATTTTGGATCAGATCTAATTATTATTTAGTCTATTTTAGTCTTATTGTGACGGTTCTTGGCTGCTTTTTGTGTGTTTTTGTATGTTTGTTTTGTTTTATTAAATGATGCACGTTGAGTTCGGGTAGATTTTTCACATCTTTTTCTTATCCAACTTTTATTTATATAAATGATGATGACATAATGTTGTGATCAACATCTTGTGCTTGGAGACTTTTAATTTTTAACTTGTGTTTCAAGTTAGAAATGTAGAGTTTTAAAGGCATTTACAAGGCGAGGAGTCTAACAAACAGATGTCCTAAATTGCATCATGGGAAATGTAAGATTTTGCCCATTTCTTTTTAAAGTCTCCCTTGTGAGTCCCTCAAGAGTACCGCTATGTTTAAGTGAAGTAGAGTATGTGGGTATTGTTATGAGAGACACTTAAATTAAACTGCTCCAATTTGATCAGATTACAAGAAAGTAAATGTTGCTTCACAAATACAAAACAATGTGGTGCTGTAGACGACTAGTCTCCTCCCTCACCCATGTTTTTGTCTGAAGGTAGGAGGGTTCACATGAAATGAATAAGTTCGACGTCATCCAAATTCTTTGGAAATTGGACGAAAAGCTAAGAACTCGCTCCTGTGTTCAAGATTAGTCATAAAAACTATATTATGTAAAAATTATTTTACACAAAGAGGAGCATTTTGATGTAAAAATATTTCTATATGATGGAAAAGTACAAAGTGTGTAAAAGTCATCTTGTGTTCTGCAGGTGTGGAGGGGCACCATTGCCAGAATGCGTTACCGACGGATGCGAGCCGCCCTCGTCATCCTTCAGGCCTACCGCCGCTACAAGGTCAAGTCCTACATCCGTGAGGTCAACCGTCGCTTCAAAAATGTGAGGTCCATGAAGGACTACGGCAGACACGTGAAGTGGCCGACACCCCCCAAAGTCCTGCGCAAGTTTGAAGAGGCACTCAGGAGCATCTACAACAGGTACTCAGACAAGATAACACATTCTCAGTATCAGTGCTTTATCATTAACGTCTGTGCTGTGTCTCTGAATAATATAATGATATATAATATATTATATTATATTATATTATATAATAATATAATGAATTTCCCCCAGGGGATAAATAAAGTATCAATCTATCTATCAATTATAGAGAAGTCTTATGTATCATGCATTTCCTATTATGTTGTTCAAAATAGAGACAACGGAATAATCTTTTTAAACTAAAATGTTTCTAAATTACCTTTCCTATTCTGGCTGAACTAAAAGTGGATGTGACCCCGGGCACAGGAGGCAACACATGGGCTCATGTGTTATTTTATATCCAGATGAGTCCATTTGAAGCAGCTTACACACGTTTCCTTCTGCCTTGGGCTCACACTGGGCATTGATTTTTCTTCCTCCATCAAAGCCTCATCACAGCCTTTCATCCCAACGTCTGTTTGTTTGTTGTTTTTTTCTATTTGAAACTGGGCACAGTTAGAAAATAGCCTTCCTAGTTAATGATGTTGGCTGTCAGGATGTGTGAGTGAAAGGCCAATAAGCACAGCACAGCTGGTGTCTACTGTAGTCCTGCTGTACCAACCCCACTGGACCAACTGTTGTGTAGTATCTCTGATGGAGAAAGACGTTTTCCCTCCACTCTTAGTTCTTTCTTTGTGTGTGTCTGGATGTGTTTACCCTCCAGGTGGTGGGCATGGACCCTGATCAAAGGCCTTTCTCCAGAGGAGGCCCTGCAGGTGAGGGCCAAAGTGGCCTGCCTGGAGGCCCTCAAGGGCCAGAGGGCTGACTTGGGCCTACAAAGAGCCTGGGAAGGAAACTATCTGGTGAGTAGGTGGGATAGTGGTGTGGGTTGAGTGCACTTGTATACCACAGTAATAATTGATGCCTGTCAAGTACTCTACAAAAAGCACACAAACAATACAGCATGAACATATAAGAAGCCTAATTAAAGCTGTTATAATTTGGTACTTTATAACAAAAGACTTAAAAAATGTAGCACTGGTATAGTCACAAGTCAACTTCAGGCTTCAGGTGCAGCAGGTAGACACTGGTGGACAGAGCAAGATGAAAATGGCACATTTGTTTCTCCAATAACTACAATTAATGACTGTGCAGTGAGACCACTTATATATTCTGGACTGGACTGTGGCTTATTGGCCGGTTAAGCAAGAGTTAGACATCAGTACTGTGACTGTTCTCTGTTTAATTATGTGGGATTCAGGCAATTTATTCATTGAAAACTGTGTTGGCAGTAATTTTTTGTTCGTTACACAATCATAATTTTAGTACTTCATAAATTAGGTTTATTGCCTTGATTTATGAGATTTATGTGCACAAAAGATGTAAGTTCTTTTTCAGCCACCTCATCTGAACCTGATCAGAGCCAGTGATTTCTGTTTATTTGTTTAAATGGAGCTGGAGTGTTTTAACGGAATCTTTTGTGGTTTTCAGAAGCGGGACAGTCCCGACACAGCAGCATCGTTCACACTCGTCTCCAGCGAGCTGCAGCGGAAAGACAAATTCATGAGAGTTCTGTTCTCCTGCAATGTTCGCAAGGTAGAGTGCTCCCAGTGTATAAATCCACCGCTGACCACATGCACACACACTCAGCCGCAACATGTATCTGTCTGTACAAAAATAAAATAAACCCAAAGGCTCCTGGTCTGTGCCGCCTGTCTGCAGGGTGTTGAGATGTTGGTGCTTTTGTGAGCTTTTACTGTGTCCTGTGGGGTGACTAATGAGGAGCTTTGTGTTTCCCAGATCAACCGTTTCCACAAGGCAGAGGACAGGGCCGTGCTCATCACTGACCGCCACCTGTACAAGATGGACCCCCTGAAGCAGTACAAGCCCATGAAGAGCATCCCCCTCTACAACGTATGACACTTCCTTTTATAACACCATTCCTCTAACAGCCTTCTTTATTGCAAACATAGGGTGGTAAACAGAGGGTGGCTCATTAGACCCAGGTGTAACAGCATTTTAAAGCAGATTTCCAAAGAGGTAACACATATATTGGCTCAACGGAAGCAGAGGTGTTGTAGATGCAAATCCATAAAATAATGTTTCATGTGTCGTTGAGTCACAATAAGAGTGATTCATGCAGGATTGTAGAGCCCTTAAAATGAAAAGCCATAGATCAAATTACTGCACAGTTACTGCTGTTGATTGATTGATTTATCCAAATCGCTGCCTGATGTGAGTTTTATATTTATATAGAAACAGGAAAGATGGATATGAAGGGAATTAAAAAACCTGTCACAGCTTGTGCTTATTTGCCTCTATTGAACTTTTGTAGGCAGTAAAAAGAATTCAGGCAAGTTGGGTTAAGTCATGCACAAAGGCAATTCAAGGTGTTCTTAAGATGAATCAGGTTAATAAATTATTTTTATGGTAGAAAAAAAAAATTGATGTACACAAACATTGTTTATTTATATGACTTTGATCTAGTTGTTGCATTTCTTCCTTGTGAAATACCTCTTCATCTGGAAGATGCATCTAAAAATTAATTATTTGTAAACATCTTTTAGGTGAAATCACTCTTTGAAAGAGGTGAAAAACAAATGAAGAGGGATCACTGCTTTACAGAATATATTTAACACATAAAAAAGAGAATAAATCTTTAAACCACCAGATACAGACTGAAACCATTTTAAAATGAATTCAAAGGCAAAAACTGAGGAATAAACACATAGGTCAAGATTGTTCCAGCTCTGTAGAGCAAAGTAGCTAAATATTGTGTCTCCATGTTTAGTTTTAAACAGCTGGCAGACCACTATACACACAGTTACCAGGGGACCTGAGAGGCAGTGACAGTTCACATGGTAAAAGGGAGTCAGAGATGTATTTTAATCGTAAACCACTGAGAGATGTATGGATGAGCAGCTGTAATTTAAGCTCCATTCCAAAGAACTATTCGATATGGAGTTTAATTATAGCGGCTACCATGTTATACAGAGACCATACTGTATATCAGAAAATTAGAGCCCACTCCAATGGACTAAAATGTATGAACTGCCCAGTTTAAATTGCCAAAGACAGAGTGCAGTAATGAGATTGTATTGTTTAACAATCTTCTCATTCAAGACTGTAGTTTAAATTTCTATAATGTACACACAATAGACACATGTAGTTTAAATGTGTGTGTATATATTAGCATATACAGTATTTCAGTTTTACAGTTGTCTTGTTTACACAGAATTTCATTTCATTTTTATCCTGAAACAAATGATTAATAATCAGAGAGTCCTGAACACAAGCTTTCTTAAGACTGGCGCTGAAACGATTAGTTCATTTATTGATCCCATCAATAAGATCAATAAAGGAAAGGAATGAGGACATTTATTGTCAGTTATCTAGATAATTAGTTGACTATTTGGGTCATATTACAAGCAAAATAGAAAATATTTGCTGGTTCCAGCTTCTCAAATGTGAGGCTTTGCATATTTTGTCTGTTTTATCTCATCATTAATTCCATATCTTTCGATTTTGAACTGTTAGTTCCACAAAACATGTAATTTGAACACGTCTGAGGGCTCTTTCACAGTTCTTTGACATTTTATAAACTGATTTAATTGGAAAAATTACCCTAACCCAACACACTCACCATTAATGAAAATAATCATCAGGTGAAGCTCTACTTGAGGCTTTCTGTTGGAAACACTAAGACATTAGCTATGATGCTGTTGCACTTGTGGTTGAGGTTTACAGTCCCTCTGTATGTCCTGCTGTATGTGACATCCAAAAAATTAACAACAGCTGTGGCAGAAGTGACAGCATCATCTCTGATTTCCCATCAGCCTCTTTTCCTGGAGCAACATGTCAATATGCAAAACTCTCATTCAGCTCCACAATTGGCTGGTTTTAATTCATATCCAGGATGTGATAGGTCTATTAAGGCTGCTGAGCGCACAGAGCACATGAGGCTGTTTCCATGGTAAACATATCCTCTGTGTGTTGACTTCATGCCACTTGTTTTCTTATACAAGTGCTTCCAAAACCAGCTGTTTTTTATTTTTTTGTTTTTTGTTTTTTCTTCAATCTACTTGCACAATGGTAATCCATTTCCAGAGGCTGTTGTTTTGTTCTTTTTGACTATTTTTGTGACTGAACAAATTCTGGTACAGTTTGTCCTCCTGTACTCGTGAGGATTCTCCCTCACATAATGCACTTGCCAGCATCCAAGCACGACCTTAACGGGAATAGTTTGACGTGTTGGAAATTATGCTTATTCACATTTTTGCTGAGAGTTGGTTCAGTATCACACTCATAAGACTTGGTGATGTCTTGATGTCACTGTGAGGTGGCCAGTCAACCAGCGAAAACTCCAGGAAGTGGCTGCACCCATTCAAAAAAATAAGCCGACACATAACCTCCTGTAAACTTGTCATTTTTACACTTCAGTTTCTGTACAGACAAACGAACTGATAAAAGGTGTTAATCTGTGAGCTTTAGAGGTGCTGCAAGGTAGATCTTGTTACCTTTAGACAGAGCCAGACTAGCTGTTTCCCCTGTTTCCAGTCTTTATGCTAAGATAAGCTAAGATAACTGCCTTCAAAGCAGGTCGCTGTTTAAAGCCAGGTAGAAACATTTTGAGGGTGATGACATTTGTTGTAACTGCTCACATGGTAAATCCTGTACATTGCATTTCTACAGTACTAAGTCCAAACAGAGTCTTGTCATACTCTGCTTTTATATTTTTAATAGGAATAATTCCAGTTGCTTCTATTCTAATGTTTTTCCAGAATGACATGAAGCTAATGTAAACAAAACGTAACACTTCCAGGTAATAAATGAATGGCTAAAAGACTTTTAATGTGAAATTCTTCTGGGAAATGTTGAGTATTTTAACAGCAATTAATCAACAAAGTGGAACAACTGGAATTCAGTATAATGAATAAAGTACTTCTCATGGAGAAACTGAGAGCAGCGGAGAGGTGAATATGAGGTGAAATAAGGATTAAATGTCCATCTCTAACATAAACCTGCTCCAGATAAAGGCTTAGTGATTGGCTCTCTCTGTTCTTGAGAGAATCAAAGCCCCAGCTACTATGTGAGAATTTACAGTAAGCATATTTCAAAAAAATGTTGAACTGTTCCTTTAACTATCAAGAAGACAAAGAGGGAATAGAAAGCAGCATTTAATTAACACTTAAACAAATGATAAACAGATGATATTTCTGACAAATATCGCTTCTGCATCTTACTGCACCTCTGACCTTGGAGGTGAGGCAGAAATGAGGCAGGAAGTGAATGTGTAATCCATTAATCTCTGAAGCGGACACGCCCCCGTCGTCTGGTGAAATGAGTGAGATATGGAGCCGGTGTGCGGTGACAACTGTGACAAGACATCCCAGTGTTCAATCTGACAAAAATGACAAGAGGGAATTAGAGAGCCTGGAGATGGACACCCAAAGCCTGTGTCGCTGCATCTGGAAGCGAAATGAGGAGATGGTGTTTAGACAGATGGTTGCAGAGAGAGAGAGAGAGCAGCAGGAGCTAAGCAGGGTTTTAGTTATTGTTCATTCATAGACAGAGTGTCACACACACACACACACACACACACAGTTGATAGATGAGGCTCAGTCCCACACACAAGGCATATGGGGAGCCAGCAGTGTTGTAGGAGGACAAGGGGGCACACTGTATGGTTTGCAGCTTTCACACATTGACAGTGACACAACAGGAGTAGCACACTACAGACAGAGCTCCACATACACATGACACCCAATGAATTTTTAATCCCCCTTTTAACCATCAAACCAACTATTTTGTGTCTGTTTTTATCTAAACGGTTAAGCTCTTAAAGAATAAGTCTGGCAATATTCAGTGTTTTTGTTATTGTCAACAAATCCCATGAAAAGACAAGCGCCTCAAAGAATCTTATTCGTCTGAACCACAGAGCTCCACTGTTGTCCAAAAACTATTACACACACAGTGACCCACTCTTACACTGGGGGACATGTACCCATATGTAAGTAAAGATCTTATCTGTAGTATCTGTAACTGTGCCTCTTGTCCGTACTGGCTGTGAAGACATTTAGATTTCAATATTATGGACAATTAGGGGACAAAATCCATAGTTCTTGTTATGTGTCAAGTAAATTTGGTTCCACTTTGGTTCCACGTTCCCTTTGTGGTGGCTCAGTAAGGAAACTCAGTGGGAAAACAGAAAGATGGAATTTTATACAAAAAAATGCTGTTACTTAGGAAAATGATGAAGATGTGAATCATGAAAGACACATTGATAGTTTTGGACTTTTTGTAGAAAAATCTAGAATTATGCCGACCAAATCCTTATCCTTTCAACTTTAACATTTATTTCTGTAGAACCTTAAAAAGCGATAGTGCCTATAAAATCACAATACCATAAAATAAAACAAAACATGTGGATAGTCAAACATAGACAATTAAAACAAAATGCTAATGGGTAAGGAGGTAATGACTGAAGCTGAAATGGTAAAATCATGATCCCCTTTGACCTGAGTCTGTTACATGGACCCTAAAGAAAAAGACTGACCTTATCTTTATATTTCTTATTGTTGACAAATCCAACAATAAGACCAAAAACCAACAAGGAACTAGTTCATCTTTCAATCATTTCGGATTTCCCTACTGCATCTGAAGCACTCATGCCCGCCGGTAAATTTTTAAATAACATCTCACAAATATAGTTTTATTTTCTATTATTTTCTTTCTACAGCACCAAAGATCAAAAATAATGAATTGCTTCACATCTTAATGTTTTAGCTAATAGCTGTGGTTGTGTAGAGGTCATTCATCTTTTTAGTCAACATTATAATGATTGATTGTAGCTGCTGCTCTGTTGCATCCATAATACCAGGCCTATTTTATGCAGTGAATGTCAAGCTGTAAGGGAGAGTGAATTGGTCAAGGTGCAAAAGTGCAAAGGCGGGTGAGAGGAAGTGCAAAACGAAAGAAAGGCGGATGAGGAGGAGGATGAGCGAGGGATAGAGATGTAGGCTGAGAGCCACGGCGGTGTGACGTGGAGCTATTGATCGGAGAAGGTCAAACAGAGGGGAAAGCAGTTAGCTCATTGTTGATTAGCACTGATAGGCTAACACCACAGCATCCTCTTGGCAGTCCTATACCGTGTATTTACTGCTGCTCCTGCAGGGCCGCGGTAGGGAATGGCCTCGCTGATAGATGGCTAGTACTTTAGTGAGGAGCCAACAACTGTCTGCCAAAGGATTTATACACCAATTAATGCCTGTGCTGCAAAAGTGAGATCATTACACTGTATTTCTCATTGGGAAAAAAAACACTGCGAAAGAAACGGTAAAATATCTTTTCTGCACAAGTGAGTCATCTCACTGCTTTTCACCATCTTTTCTCTCCTGTTCACCTTCCATTTTCCATCCTCTTTTCATTCTATTCCTGCCTCCCCCCTCTACCCACCCCCACCTAGCCCCTCTCCCTATCTTAGTCCCTCCCCCCCCCTCCTCTCTCTCTCTCTCTGCTGCCGCTTCTCTCTTCCCGTTGTTGTCATGCCAACTTCCCAGGAGACAGTGTTGTCATGGATACCGAGCGGCAGGGCAGATCAGCTGATGTCTGGTGTCGTTCAGGCATGTGCACAAATCGGTCTCCTGTATGTGCACTCTCTTTTTTTTTTTTTTTTTTTTGTGAATCCCTCCGCTCTCCGGTTTCTCGTCCACATTTTTCTCTCTGTTTTTTTTTTTTTTTTTTTATTATTATTATTTTTTATCTTCATTCATCCATTGATCCCTTTACTTCAGTGCATTTTTACCTCAACCAACATAGACATTGTTTATATTGCACACTCAAATGAATGGTTTACATGTGCAGCAGAGTCATGTTGTTCTTCACCAAGAGGCTCAAACAAAACAGAGCTCTGAAGAAAAAAGTGTCTGCTTTCTGAAAGTAGCTCTCAAATTATGCAAATCTATTAATGCATGACATCAGGATGAGAAGGTGATGAAGCATAAATTGCAATATTGTTAATATATTCATACATCTCAGAGGCAACTTGCAGGGAAGGGTGACTATTTTTTTTTGCCCCGTAAACATTAGTGTCCGTCGCACTGGTGCCCTCACAGCCTCACAACATGAATGGCTGCACAGCTAAGCTGATTATATTATATTCATTTAATCACAGAGCCTCCAGACTTTGCTCTTGCAGCTTTTGTCCCCCCCCTCCCTATCTTTGCAGGGCTGCTGGGATGTGTTATATAACCAATAAGTTGCTCCCATAAGAATAAACTGGGAGAACCTGCTGCTCAAATTATTTCCTCATGACAACCACACAGCAGAGTGGATCAGACCAGAGAGCACTTACCAAAAACCATTGTAGTTTTGACTGCATGTTCTCAACTTGTACACACTGTACAGTAGTGCTTTCACCAAATATACACCCACTGGTGTTACTGTTTGGGAACATGGCAGTTATAAATGCAAACAAGACATCAGCAACAAGTTGTTGCTGCCTCAGAAACGGTGCCATCCTGCCGGTTTACACAGAAATAAACATGTCAACATGGTTTGGACTAGAGAAAGCCAAAGGATCACTCATGAGCCAAACGGTGTGATTGGCATGTAAGAAAGGAAAAAGAGCATGTACGTGAGTGCTGGACACCCCAAGGTGACACTCACCCCCCTCAACCGGAAAAAATATAACAAAGGGTGTTTTATTAACTGACGAGCTCAGCACTTTGTCAGGTTTATTTTTTTTGTTTTTGAAAAATATTTAGTTGTGTGTAAAGGAAGGCCTTTATGCACTGTGCAAGTTTGGGATGTCCCATGGTTCAGAACCTCAGTCCACATTCAGTTTATTGTCATATAAGAAAAAGAGAAGTAGAGAAACTTCATAACTGAGAAGCTGAAACATTTGGTATTTTATTCTTGAAAAATTATTAGTGACTAAAAAAGTTTTTGCATTTCGTTAGGAGTTCATTGCACAATACGATAACATGCCTGAAAATTGATATTGTATGGATTCCACACAGACAAGACCATGATTAAAAGATCGCAATCATCGCACAGTGAGTAGAGTAGGCCTCTAGTTAACACAAATGAACAAACAAACCGCCGCACAATTCAGCCCCCACTTGTAAGACACTCTTGGCCAAGTTGGACGGCAGTAATGAAATTTATCATCATCCTCGAGTTTTTTCAGATTTGTGTGAATCGGACGAACAATCGAGCAGATGGCCGGGCAGATAAATGCCTCTAATGGATCTCATATTTAGGGTAAAACTGATTGGGTGACTCAAGGAAAAAAATGAGACAAGGAAACAAATCAGAATGTATCATTACCCAACTCATTAGGACACCAACTGTCGTTCCAATCAGTTAAGCCTTTAATATAAATGTAAATGTAATTGGCTCCATGCAATTAACTGGGGGTGGATTGCTAGACAGAGAAGTATTGCTCAAGGCTTTAATTCATGGTGATTACGTGAAGTGTTTGTTTCTGAAGTCACAGGCGTCACGTCGGAGCTAAATAAGCTAGCTGGTTGTATAGCCGCTGGTAGCAGCCCCGTCTCTGCCTGTCTTGCCCCCTGATGGAGAATTTGTCTGAGCATTACACTCTGGTGAATGAATATTAGTGTACCTGACTGGCTGCCCTGCGGCTGTTTCCTCAGCATGCACAGCCTGAGTTCAGCTTAGGAGGACAAATTAAAAGAGAAATAAATGGCTAAAAGAGAGAGAATGACACTGGAGCTGGGCTAAAAGGAAGAGAGATAAGAGTATAAAGGAGAAAAAAGGGATAAAAGAGAAAGGAAATGATAGTTAATGAGACATGAGCTTTTTCAACCTGAGAAGATTTTGTTTCTTCCTGCTGTGTGTACGGTGTGAAGACTTGTAAAGCCAGAAAATCCAACTGCAAATTTGGGATTCCTCTATTAGCCCTGCTGCTTTCCAGTGGTGTGTGGTTTTGGGGGCTGTGATTGAAAAAAATTTGATTGGTCCTCTGAGATGCTGATCAATAAATCTTACTCCAAGCTCCAAGTGCTGATTTAAGTCCTGAGTGGGAGAAATCCCATGCACCAATAGACACCATATACTGGCCTTTATTTATTTATTCATTCATTTATTACCTCCACCATGAGGGTCATGTTTTCACCTGTCTGTTTACTTGTTGGTTTGTTTGTTTGTCCGCAGGATTAAGAAAAAAAATGTACTAAACCGATATGCATGAAACTTAGTGGAGGGCTGGGACATGGGCCAGGGAAGAGTCCATTAAATGTTGGTGTCGATCCAGTTAAAGGGCCAGATACAGGAATTTTTTTTATGACTTTCCTAATTATTGTGAAATAGGGCATTTTACAACACCTTTTTAATTTCTCTGGAAATAATGTTTGTATCTTGATGTAACATTTTAATAGTGTTGAGATCCATCAGTTTGTACAATTTGATGCAATCTTCTCACCGTGCTTGGCCTTGACAGAGGTAACTGCATGCCATTCTAGGTAAATTATTTAGTTATTTATTTATTTCACTCAGTTTATATGAACATTTTAATTGCAGAGTTCAATGACTTAGATGTAAGACACTGTAAAAAAATAAATAGCCGTACCTTTTTAATATTCAAGGTTTTTCTTTTCCTCTTTAAACGAGAGATCTGCTGAATGTGCCAAATTCCTCAGGTCTCTTTCCCTCTTTCTTCTTTCCTTCCTTTGGACGTGAGGGGATGATGATTTGTAGTCTGGTGCAGTGGCCCCAGTGTACTCATGTCCTCTGGGCTGTGCCAGCTCAAACCCCATAATATACATGTGCATCTGTGTCTGTGTACGTGCTGCATTTGTGTTTATCTACAATACAGATGGTTACGTGCTACACGTTCCTGCCTTTGCACATGTTTGTGTTCCTCTGTTGCTTCTATGTGCATGTTTATCGTTGTTAAATTGTAAACGTCCCCACCCCCCCACCCCTCTCTCTTTCTTGGTCTGTCTCAGGTGACGGGAGTGAGCGTGTCCCCTGGGAAAGACCAGCTGGTTGTGTTCCACACCAAGGACAACAGGGATCTGGTGGTGTGCCTGCAGGGTATGGTCCCTGCCAATGAGAACCGCATCGGGGAGTTGGTTGGCACCCTGCTTAGCCACTTCAAGAGGTGAGTGGGGGAGGGGGGCAAGTGGGCAACAAGTGGTGGCAGAAGCTAAACTACTTATTTATCTGGCATTTCCATCTGTTGTCCTAAAATGCTTCAAAAGCACGAACCATAGATTGTTGGACTGAAATGACCTGTGGGTGACACCAAGGTGAAGGTAGAGGCCTTCTCCTCTTCTGTTTACTGTGCAGAGAAAATTGTGTTCAGTTAATAATCAGCATATTGTCCTCACGTTAGTGTTTCTCACAGGTTGAGAATTTACTTGTGGTGGTGGGTGGGACAGATGTGTGACTGATGTGGATGTAGAGACTCGTGCAACTCAGGTTATTTTCTATAGCTACAATTTACAATTTACATGTCCCCTAAATGTCTCACATGTAGACACTACAAGTTGGCAATGCTCCATAAATGGCTCACATGCAGGCTATAGATGTTAGCTAGGTGGCTGCGCAAAAAGAGAAGCCTCTGGTCCCCTCTCAGTTACTGCAGCGCCCACAACCCAGAAAGGTGTGCAGCCAAAAATTCAAATTCAAACTTGAATTCGAAAGCCTTTATTGTCATTGTCGACTCTGCATACAACAAAGTTAGGAGCACTGCCCCTCAGTGGTACATAATAAAACAGGCCAAAAACACAAGGCACAGATCCTTTCTAATATTAAAATAAGATAAATAATATAATAAAGAAGACATTCGTTCATTTGAAAAGAGTAAAATAAGTGGTTTTATCTACCTGGGCGGGACTTAATCCAACTGGACAGGTGGCCAAGTAGAGCCAATGTATGGAAAATGCTGTGCAGCCTGAAAAAGGACAACCAACTGAAATGACATTATATCAGATCAAATCATATTGTCCCAGATGTGCAGTGTTGACCAACGTGACTTGTGGCAGGAGGATTATTGGGCAGATAGAGTGCACAGTCACAGCTGTCCTCGCTTGAACCCGATTGTTCACTTAATCTGAGCTCCAAGCTCTCTCTTCAGGAAGTTCTAGCATTAATTTTGTTTCCGTCCTCCAAAGCACAGAAAAACACAGATAGATTACACGCTTAGATGAAATCTCTCCATCCTGCAGTCGCCTCCTCTTTCTTACCTTGAGATTCCCTGAGGTTCACTCCACAACAGTCCCTCTTCATATCCTTCTTTGTGTACCTTTGTTACTTTAAGACAT